CATATATATATGAGAAATATGCTAATTAACCAGGACGCCATAATGGGGCTGACCAGACAGGAGGAGGTTGCGCACAGCTTCAGGCGGGGGGGGGGGGGAGGGGGGGGCGGGGGGCAGGGGCCTCCACGCGCCTGAGCTGGGGGAGGGCCTGACCAGTAGCGGCCATGGCTGCTTTAAGGGTCAGAGAGGGAGTGGCCAGCACCGTGTGATTTCCAATCGCGCTCTGGGCTCCTAGTAATTACATAAAAATTAAAGATTCTTATGACAGTCCTTGGGACCCCATTTGCTACTGTTTCATGTATAAGCACCATTGAGCCATTTTAAAAGCACATTTGCAAGGGTCAAGTGTTTAGTGTGTCCTCAAGTGCTGTTGATTTATTTGCTTTTAAACAACAAAAGTTAACTGAATTGACAAAAATGTTAGTTTTGGAAGTGTTTTGAATCACTACTTTCTCCAACAGACTAGAATGGCTTCCTGAAACTTGTTGATTAAGTAAAGAAACACATAATTCCCAAAGAAGCATATATCTGACCCTCTATCACTGCATGCAAAGTAAGGGTTCATCTGAGAGTATTTTTCCCAACTCCTAATGCAAGTAGCAGACAACACAAAGGAAAAACTAATCTTTGAACTGGCCAACTTCAATTTTTAAAAAAGTTTGACTGAGAAAAAAAAATCATGTAAGACTTAAAAATTTAGTGATTTACAAATTATAGAAAAGATATGTTATCTACAATATATGCTAGGTGCATTATTTATTTTTTTGAAACTACATCCAAATGAATGCATAAAAACCACCATCTTGGATCTTGGTGCTTTCCAAACTTCTGAAATCTCAGTGAAGGAGAAGACATATCAGGTTTTCTTGTTATTTTCTCAGGAGAATTGGGCAGAGATGAGAAGGAAGTGAGCCTTCACTCTGACATAGGCCTTCTAGAGCAAACCAGCTTAGGGCACCTTTTTATGGTTCAATTAAAAGTAGTTTGAAAGTAGTTTATCATAGAAATTCAAGAGATTTTTTACCCTGAGAGGGCTAGCAGGCAACACAATAATATTAACAAAGCTCTCCCTCAAGCACAATTGCACTACCGCAGGGAGATAGAGTTGTAGAATGGGTGCCCTTGGCCAACAAACCACCATGATTTAATGGAGTTTGGTAGCTCTGTGACCCTGTAAACTAAGTCCATTTTTCCTTCCTCTTTTTTTCCAACTGTAATATGCTTCAAAGGGTAAAGGATTGCAATTTTAGCCTTTCTTCATGGATATATTGCTTTCTTCCAACAACATCTGACCGGGCTGTTAGCCACAACCTATGGCTTGAACAGTTGCATGAGGTCTCATGGAATACAAAACACCAAGCATTTTCAGTAGTTTATTTGCATTTTTTCTCTGCTTATTTTAATATGCACCATGTGTAAGTTAGATGAGGGCTACTGTAAAAACATTTTTAATGACTGAAATCTTACTTTTCCTTCTAACGATTTGGAGAAAACCACATATTCATTGATTGTGAAGAATAAAGTGATTTCTGCTACAATGTTGCAAAAAAGTATTCATCAACATGAACAGTTCTCATCTACAGAGATGATTTACACAATGCAAGTAATGGAAGTGTTCTTTCTTAACTAGTCTACTAATGAACTGAAAAGTTGAATCTTAAAATTTTCTTGAAAATACTATATGGTTGATTATGTATTAATAAAGGAAAGACAGTCCCCATCACCATACTAACACCATAAGAGCTATATTAAATACTTAGGAAAAAATATGGAAACACTTATGGCAATGATTAAAATGATAATTACAGAAGTACACTCCCATAATGGTACATATTTATTTGATGATGAAGTGAAATAAAAGATCAATTTGGTTATAGAAATTACTTAAAGAACACTATCACTTAATGAATTCAAACTTGAACTATCCCAAGAATGTCATGAAAAAAAATTATAAAGCATTGGCTAAAAGCAAAACAGTCTGAATATACCAATGTAATCAGCATGCCTTGTGCTTGTCTGTTAACCCTTTGCGTACATTTCTGATATTCAGGATCTTGACAGCTTGATGCTGAAAAGATTGCATTCCATCTGATTACTCAACATTTCCACTTGACATATCACATACACTGTTTACTCAGCATAAATCACAAATTTGACAGCAATGCGTTGGGCTCTCCATGCTGAATGGGCCCTATATTCTTCCGAGCTGCTCTCTGAAGTGTGTTGTGAAACACTCCCCAGCTTCACATGGTCCACAGTCTCCCAAGACTTGGATGGAAAAAGGCTGAGCCATGCACTATAAGTTCTGTACACTAAATGCTGTACCAATACATGTAATGTCCACGGGAAAAGCAGTAATTCAGAGAATGAAAGGAAAGTGACAATCTTATGTAGGTACGTCTCTGCTCATAAGATTCTTCATAGTCACACATTTAGAGTTGAGGCCAAGTTATATGGCTACTCCAGTGCTACTTAGAATAGTGCTTTGCTTTATAGTTCTAGACAAAGCAGTATTTCTGAACAGTTCTGGGTACTTCACTTATGTGGAATCTTTCTACACACCAACACCTTTCCTGGTATTCTGCCCTCACCCCAACCTTGACTGAATTGTGCTACTCTGCGATATTGTATCATTTTAGGACTCTCTAAAAGGGGGACAACTTTTAATAAAAGCTTACATGTCAGGACAACACAGACTAAAGAAATAAACCTAAATGTAGAAGAGCAAAAAATTGAGGGAACTACTTTGTAAAAATCATGACATGGTAGGACCTTAAAATCTATATTAACATAGGGCATAGTTTATGAGTTAAAGAGTAAAAGCAGCAATTGAAGACAAATGTGTATTTGAAAATAAAGAAATGTCAAAGACCTTCAGATATTGAAATATATTCAAAACAGAGACAGTAAGTGCTGTTCAGCTTTACATATGCAAATTTTATGAGACCTCACTCTTTGGTTGTCTCCTGCATCTCAAAACTGAGCAAACCTTAGGAGGACATTTGAGTTGGGTCCTTGCCTCCAAGACACCATGGCTAGCCTTTTCTCTAAGCATCACAGTAAAGCACAGGAGGCCCCCATTCTGAAATGTGACACATTCCAGAAGAAACTCAATGGAGATACAGGGCTAGGGATCAAGGTTTTGTCACAGGAGTGACAATTCAGGTGTCAGACAGGACTTGACCCATAGATAGAAAAATAACATGCCCCTCTAGATAGCTAAAGACAGCGGTGTATAAAAAGGGCACCTTAGGGAATGGAAGTTTCATCCTCAGTGGTATCTTCCAGTTCTCCTATCCTGTTCTTCCTGGGAGATCATATGTAGGAAACCTAAAGGTACACAGGAAATGATCTTATCAGTGTTTTATTTCCTTAAAACCCATTTTAAAAATATTCTAGATTGTTTTCTCACTGTGCTTTCTCCTTAGTCACCTTGCAAAAACACTTTGCCTCTAGTCCCCTGTGCCCCAGCACTCCTGTGTATGGATTTGATATTTTATGGATTTCACACTGAAGACAGCAGTGCATGGAAAAGCAGGTGAGAAAAAAGACCAGGATCTTGTTTCCTCTTTCTGTTTGAAATTCCAGTCCTATAGAGCACCTGGCAATTTATTGCTCTTTTCTACCAGTTTTTTTTTTTTGTCCTGTAGATGGCTCATACTGAGCAGGCAGACCCTCCCTCACCAAGCACAAGATAAGGTATGTGTGTGCCTTCCTGAGGGTCTGCGCTGGCACTAGCAGCAGCTGATGTGGAAGCAGCATTTCTGGAGTGATATCAGCACATCTTCATATGGAGATAATTTTGGGGGGGGGTACCATCTCTTTTGTGGGTCAGGCTGTTTGCCACAGGACCAATTTCCTCCACTTGGGATGCAGAACTCATGGCAGCTGAAAGTCATACCTCTAATGAGAAAAGTCTCTTTCTTAATAGGACTGTGAAGAAGAAAGAGGGGTGTTTATGCCTAAGTTATAAAACGGCCATGATCTAAACCTATAGAAAAGGAAAAGCAAGATATCATTCTAGGTGCCTTTCTTTTCTGGATATTGTGGCATCTAAAAACACCCCTAGATCTGCAGCAAAATCAAGAAATGTGTCTATACATCCAAAGGCCTGGAAAATTCCCCAAGGGGTCTCCAAAAGCCATGCACTCAGAGGGTTAACATGTGCTTATTACACACTGCAGATCCTAGTTTGACTGATGAAAATATTCATTGCTTTTAAATTTTAAAAAGTTGCAAAGTAGACTTAACCCTTTGAGGATCCTATTAGCAGCAAGTTGCCATCTTTACAAACAACATATCTTATTCAGCAAAGGGAAATTACTACAAAGGTACCAGAAAACACACTTTCTGTTTCTGAGTGCTAGATAGATCAGATGAAACTGTTTTACATAATTTGGGGGAAAAAATCAGAGAGTCTCAAAGGGTTAGGCTAGGGCTTCGAGTAAAAGGGTCTTATTAAAAGGGCGAGTTTGGGGAGCGAACAGTCTCTGATGAGCTTGGGGAGTAGTCTTCGGATTCCGAGTTGAGTTCAGACGGAGCTGGCTGTGCCTTGTATCGGCTCCTCACATCCTGGTTGCATCTTCGTCGGAAAACCTGCCTCTCCTTATCAAGAGCGGTGGTCTAGCAGGGGCATAAAATGAGAAAGAGGACAATTAGGCTGAAGGAAAGGGTACAAGAAACTCTGAAACTTCTGAGGTCAGAAAAATATACTGGCCAAAGTAACCTATCCATTATGGCTTACTTTCGTTGACAACAATTACCACTGTTGGGGAGCTCTCTGCTCTCCAAGTTGTAGCTGCTAGGAGCACCTGATCATGACATCAGCAGGCACAGGCAGGATGGATGATGTTGTGGGTTCAATTCCTCCCCAGCCCGCCCCAGACTTCCCCTAATTCCGCAACCATGACCTCTGGTGGCACCCTGGCCAGCCAGAGACCCCTGGTAAATGGGCATCCCAGGCCTGTGTGTCTAACATGTGAGAATGCCAGGCGTGCCTCATTCATCATCACTCAGCTCAAGGCAACTGTATAATAAAGATAAAAAGTGATGAAGTTGTCAGACATGGAAACAGAGCCACAAGCTCATCCTATTATTTTAGCACCTTCTCCTTTAAATTATCTTATTATCTGCTGACGAGGGAGTACAGCTGAATCTCTGGGAAGAATTGTTTTAATTTTAATGAAACCAATGTCTGAAATTGAAAATTGCTTTGAGTGTAATTAAACCAAATGGAAACTTTCCAAGGATTTTTCTTTACAAAGTTCATTTTCATCATAGTATGTGGTGATTTATGAAACTGAGATTCAGTTCTGTAGGTATTCCAGCTCCTGGTCTCCAATCCTCATTTTCCTGAGGAACCTCAGATGATTGCCAGGCTGTGCGATCCAGCTGCAACTCTGGAAGCTATTATGACATCAGAACTGGGAACCGAAGACATGACTTCATTACAGATTTAATGAGTGTGGGAGGAACGGGGTCATTACAGAAAAACCTTACGCAGAGAGCAGAAGAGCAGGTACAAAACCTGATGAAAAATATAGAATACATATAAAAGCTTGAAGGCATCCTTGTTTGAAAGTCCTTCTTTAAAAGGATGTAGCCTGGAGGTTATTCTGCTTTAAGAGATTACTTATCCTCTACAGGGATATATACTACTATTTTTTCCTCTTGAAAATTTACTATTAGCTTCTTCAAAGAATGGAGATAAATTTATAGCTGGCCTGGTTCTGAGAACAAAGTGAAAACTATGCCTCTCTTACAACTGCAGTATAGCATTAGAGCAATCTTAGATCTAAAGTAGGGCAATCAAAGTTCTGAAATGAACTAATAAAGAGGGAAAAAGAGGCAGCGTGTAGAACCGATAGAGCAAATGGCTTCATTAGGTTGAGCTGTGCCACTTTAAAACTGTCCACAAACTGAATAACAGTTTTATAGACTCAATGAGGAAGATAAAGTTTAGTAATTTACTTCTCATTTCACTAGATTGTTAATACAATTATTCAATAACTGGTTTGTTGAAATGTCTATGTTTCATTCTTCTACTTGTCAAATTTTTACCCACTGATTTTGTTATTTTTAGCATCATAAACTCAGATTCCTAACTTTATTTAAAACACTGTAAAGTCACAGCACATGGTATTTTGCTTTCAAAGCAAACTAAAAATATCTGTTTGTGCAGAGATGTTTGCAAAAAACAGACATGTCTTTAGTCTGACTTACATAAAAACCATTCTGTAGTTAATCCAAGAGTAATATAAACTCTTCTCATGCTCATAAAAAAATATTTCTATTTCTACCTTCTTGAGAAAGAAAAAAGTCCTTGGTATTGGACTTAATACTGACTAGTGAATTGAGGCTTTCGGGCATGGGGAAGAAGTGCATACTAGGCTATAGGCAGGGATTTTGAGTCCTGTTCTGTCCACTGCTGGCTGTGTGAATCATTCACTCTGTTCCCAGTTAAATGAGGAGCAGACCTAATCCCTTCCCACCCTCCCAGAGTTGCTGTAGGTAAAGATAGATGTGCAAATGCTTTCTACATAGCTAAGATGGCCAGAAATGGAAGGGTTGTTTTTTTTCTTCCTTCCTTCCTTCCTTCCTTCCTTCCTTCTTTCCTTCCTTCCTTCCTTCCTTCCTTCCTTTCTTTCTTCCTTTCTTTCTTTCTTTCTTTCTTTCTTTCTTTCTTTCTTTCTTTCTTTCTTTCTTTCTTCTTTCTTTCTTTCTTTCTTTCTTTCTTCCTTTCTTTACAATTTGGTATCAGAGTACTCCCCTTCCCCACTCTCACTGGCACCTTCTCCATATTTGACTCATCTCCCCATAATTTACTCAGTTACATCAAGTCACACTCTTGGCTTCAGCCACTGAAATAGGTTATTTCTTTACAAATACCATGATGTTGTTTATGCAGAAGTTGCTGAAATAGGTTATTTCTTTACAAATACCATGATGTTGTTTATGCAGAAGTTGGTGACAGTGTTGAGTCCATGCTTGGATAGTATTCTCTTCCTTATTTGTCCCTCGGCATAGAGAACCCTTGCCCTGTTCCTTTTAAGTGGCCAGTTCTCCCCACTCCTAGCAATTTCTGTAGTTAGCAGCTTTATAATTGCTCATATTTGTAGGTGACACCTGGTGCTTAAATGCCTCTGTACTTTCAGGTGGCATATAAGCCAGTTTACCAATTATTTTTTGAAAAATATCATGTCATGATCACATGTCATAGAATAAGGATATGATGGCTGTTTCTATTGGATTTATAGACTTAAAGAATTGAAAGAGAATTTATAAAACATTCTTTGTCCAATGCTTTGCCTTTCCAGGCCAAGGTCTGTATGCCAGGATGCACTGTACATACAATTCCATCCTGGACCTGTAAACTCTTAGGGAGCCCTGAGTCTGATGACAGAGAGGCAGTTTCCTACTTCCCCAAGCCCTTGCAATATTCTCAAAAGCCACATAATTAATGTTTAGGGCTCCCAACGGACTTGCTCTCAAAGATGCTCCAGAAAATGTCATTGTCCACAGGCATACTCACTCTGCTTCCAGCTCCATGGACTATGGTTGGTTTTAATTACTTCTTCCTTCCATGTGTTCCCTTGAAACCTGGTACTGTTATCACTGTGCATCCTGTCTAGATCATAATTAACTCTAATTCACTGTCTTACTGTCTTTTTGGTTACATTGTAGATGCTCTGGAGGGCAAGATCAAGTCTTGGGCATCCTCTGTGCTCTCCACAGTCCATGGCACACAGCAGATACTCTACAAGTCTGTGCTTTTGAAATATAGGAAAGGGCAACAGAGGTCACGGCATTTGCCTCCTGAGCACTGAACCCCCAGTCCATCTGATACACAGCTGACAGGTTAATTACCCTTAAGTCTGATTTATTTAGAATTCCTCATAAAGTCCATTTCTTTGTCCTAACATTCACAACATGCCTACAATAAAAAATTTCCAGTGTCTAGTTCCTTTTATTATTCAAAATGGTCCCATAACATCAGCATACTCACTGTTACTCATTTGATTTTCTTGCACAGCATCATTTACTCTGTCTAGGGTTAACCATTCCTCAGTTTCTTTTTGGACTTCCTTCACTACCATACTCTGTGGTTCCCGTGAAGGTGATCCTACCCCCATCTCTGAGATGGGGCCAGGTGATTTGGTGACTCAGGAGCAAACCTGAGCTTACTGTATTCCTCAGTATCCATGATTGGCAGGATGGGCACCCAATCCAGCTAACAGGACATAAGGAGACTTTTGCTGGGACTTCATATTTATAATGAATCCAAACTTGGGGAGGATAGTAGGCCTGGAGCTGCTTCCCACATCCTGGTACTATATGAAGCTCCAAACTAAAGCCAACACCGGGATGTAGAGTGGAGAGATGAAAATAAACCAAACCCTGACTGAGTGCTGAGTCTATCCATCATTAAAGCCAACCTTTGGACCTTCCAGATTTTATAAAATAATACATTTTCTTTTTGCTTAAACCAGTTTGGTTTGGGTTTTCCTTATTTGCAATCAAAACAGTCCTACCGGGTATATCTGTGAATGTACTTTAATCACACTCACTTCTACATTTTGGCTCAAGGTGTTCACCAACCTGAAAATACTATTCCTCCTTCCTGCCTACTCAAATTTATCTATTTCCCAAGATTTAATAAAATTCACCTCCTACATCACCCTTTTTCTTTCCAATCTCTCAGGTAATCATTCTTGACCACATTCTGGTCACTTATTGAACACAGGACCCTTATTATCTTTTCTGTGCTTATTCCCCAAATAACATGCAAGCTCCTCTGTGGTAGAATCTGAAACTCTTGCATTTTCAGAATGCCTAGCAGACTGTGGCACACATTTTTAGGGACTTATTAAATATTTCTTAATTAATACAGAATTAAATTATTTTAGATAATTATGTACTTTCTAAATAACAAAAAAGGACCCAAAACAACAAGAGTAAGAAGTTAAATGTATTATGAGTCAATATTTAAGAATACAATTTATATTTCAGATATGATCAAATGCTTACAATAGATAAAGTTAATATTCTCTTATACATTTATTTACTCACAGCCACTTATTAAAGTCCAGTTATTTATCACAGTAAGCACTGTAATATATGAAATCTTTAGAATTTTAATTGTGGCTATAAAATTATGTGAAGGTTAAATCTCTACAACTGAATTCTATAGCCCCCATATGTAGTTCAGGACAGATGAATTCAGCAAGAAAATAGAGCAATATGCTATTACATAATTTTTAAATATAATTTTTCCCCATAAAAGCATTTGAAATGTAAGATTTTCTCTGAAGTGTTGCATCACAAATATAAATTCTGAGCCCTTTCTAACATTTCTCAAAGGCTGCTTTCCTCTTTATCAACCACAGAAAATTCCCAGATATCAAGCAAATAGGGTCTCTCCTCCCTAATGCTTATCTTTGAAAGGTAAATTTGTCCTTAGGTATTGCCTTGATATGCCCTTAAAACTTAAGATTTCCTAACAGGCTTATTATATTATTAGTTATTTTCCTCATGGTTTATAGCTTTGTTGGAACCAACATGAATAGAATTTCCAAATGTTTCCTCAGAAATGTACCACTTCCTTAAGAGCTCAAAGATAATCT